AAACGCTATTTTCGTGCGTCTGCGCCGACTGCGTTTCGTTAACGTTCGTTCACAACGCCAGACGATGAGGATCAGGTTCCGGCAGTGTATGTTTTCGAGCCGATTGCTGCAGTGTTCGGCCTTTGTTGTTTTGCCTTTGCAGGGTCGTTTCGTTAACCAGAGTCCGCTGAAATCAGGGCTTTTAATGACAATAAACGGAACGTGTGCAGGAGCTGTTGCATACGCAGTTGGAGCAGCTCTAGAGGTAAGCCAACACGTTCGATACCGCGATACGAGAATATTATGTTGATTGCGCTGAAGCACAGCACATGCTGTAGAATTTCATCGTGCGTGATATGTTTGCATCTTCATTTTCGTTTGCGCCGTTTGCGCCTTGTTGATACCGCCTGCTGCCTTCTGTGGCGTGTATTGAGTCAAATGAAAGTTGCTTTGTTTATGTTTGCGCGTAGGATGTTGTTGGCACCTTGTAACACAGTGAATGCTCCCCATCACCGTCTACCGACAGAAACAGGTGTCTACGACAGCACCCGTTTAGACGGGAACTGGTGCTTACAATATAATAATCAGCTTAGACAGAACTGCATTTAATTCACATCGCTTGCTGTCCCGTAGAAGTACACTAGTGACTGCTTTGCGGGTTTCCATCGGCTATCTGGTAAGAGGCCGTTTCATCGGCAGTGACGGAAGGGGAGGCTTTTTCGCAGTCTATGGCTGCGACCACGCCACCAGAGACAGACGCCGCCTTAATGCTGCTGCGCAGCTATGCAGCAGCATACATTCTACAGCAGTTTGCACTCTACAGCAGCACAGAAGCTGCATGCACGCACAAAAGCAACTTGGCGCGCGGGACTCAACCGGGTTCCCCTTTATCCTTTAATGCTGGCCGCCACCCCTCCTTATGTTGGCGAAAGCTATTGCTGGGCGGCATTTTGCTTAAAACTACAAAGGAACCTCTACTCTAGTTTCTTTCATTCAGGAGGTGTTCTCCTTGATATTTTCTAGCTGTCCATATATTTTAGAATTTCACATTGTTCACACCATGCGAATGCACATCTGTCTCGATTTAGAAGAAAGGAAAAAACAAATTTCCCAGTCGAACAGCACTGCAGCAGTGTGCAGCGTCTTCAAACATAAATAATAACTGAGCTGAGAGTCTGCTGTTGAGGGCTCTGGATACTCGCGAGGGGTTTATTATTGTGCAAGCATCATCATCATATGCGCTTCGTGGCTGCATCATCAGAGGGGAGAATACGCTAAAGGCGAACAAATGGTGGTGTCTGGTGCTGAATGCCTAGGAGGAACCCCCCGCGAAACTCATCTCTATTTCAGGAATCTGAAACACTGCATGTGTAGCACGCGCGCCAGTTAGTGCTGGCACTGCGAAAGCTGAATATTTGAAGCGAAACCCTCGGTGCAGCTCTCAGTGGCGTGGCCGACATATTAAATCGCTTTCGAAGGAGAGCAAGAGCATCTCTCAAACTCTCTCAAACTCAACGCCTCACAGATCCCCTAAAAGCCACACACACAAAACTACAGCTCAACTCTGCATAGTAAAGGGAAAGCGGCAGCACGAGCAGAATGTGTGCCGTGCTGCGTCCGTTGCTTTGTGTGCTGATGAACCCCCATGTTAGGTGCTTACTGTCGTCTGAGTTCTTGCTGCCGAAGGACAGCTGCTGTGTTTGCTGCTGCCTTGGCTGAAGATCTAAGCTCCTATCACGGAGGCGCGGCTGCTGTAGCGCCAATTCCATTTCTGAAATGGCAGCTCCGCCTTCTGCAGGGAAGGAGGTCATGAAGGGTAGCCTCTGCTTCTTGTACTCGAGCATGAGGCTCTTGACAGTAGCCGAGGGTTCTTTTGAACGCGCGAGATGTTCGCGAAATAGTGTCGGCATCAGTGACAAGAAGGACATCCGGCGCCACGGCACGAAGGGGTGGCTTGGGAACGCCAATGTTGACATGTAGTCCTCTGCAACTGGCCTCACCCAGTCGCGGACCTGCGTTCATCACCACACAATAAGCCATCAAAACATCTCAACCTTCGAGAACAAAACAGCAGGCCGGCATCTGGATGATTGACCGCACACCGCAGGTACTTGGTGACAGCCGCACGAGTGAATACAACGACAGAGGTATTTGGGTTGTTGCGTGAAGGAGGAAAATATCAACACTCGGGGGCAAATGAAAACTAAACTATTTAGTATCTGAAACAACCGGACTTTGGGTATCAGAGGTGTTAATACGAGGAAGCAAGCGGCCATTCCGAGCAAAGCGGCACCGAAATTCCTCATGTTGGGAGACCGCTTCATTGAATCCCAATGCAGGTCAAAGCGGTGCCATGCTGAAACAACGAAGACACAACAGGAAAAAAAAGCGGCGTTGGGATTGCGTGAAAAGCTTACACCACCCCGGCAATAACCACAAGAAAGTTTTTGCAACGGGTACCCTCAGAAGCAAACGTTTCATGCAAAGCAATCTGCTGCAGCAAGGGAAGAGCTGTGATTATCTGTGCATTGTTCCTTACCATCAGATATTGTTACAAGCATGACGAAAGGTACCAAATGCTTGATGCACACAC